ATTTCAGCCTCTCGATCTTTTATTAACGCACGTTGTTCATTTAACCATATTGTATGGAGTTCGGTAAAACCACCATCAGCAATGTTGAACATAAAACGATGACTAACTCTAGCATTTGTGTTTTGTAAGTGTTCTGCATCCCCATCCTCCTTTTCTACGCATTCTGTTGGAACGCCCGCAGGATCTACATGCGACTCAGGCTAAAAAACAGAAATAAGGAAACATTTTTTACGCGGAAATCATAGAGTTGAATGAAACTGCGAAACATTGGGCTATATAGTATGGGTGATAAGTATATTTTAACATATAAAAAATCTAAACTCTACGCATATAAACGGATACACCATACCAGAGAACTTAAGTTGCTCAGTATGGCTTTTTCACTGTTTCGATTGGACTGCGCATTAATGACTGATATTAGCTAGGAATCTGTACTTAGAGGAAATGTAATAACAAATAATGGGTTCTTCGATTTTTATTAAAATACATAAACATAGGTACGACAAGGCACCAAATAGATATGCGCCACACAAATCATTCGATTTCAGTGAGGGCTGGGATATTGCCCGGGTGCTCAAACCAAAGCAGGTGGTTTTCTCCTGGGGCCACCCAGAGCCTTCGACCTGAAGGTCTGATTCACAAGACAGTGGAGCAACTTAGGGAGATGCAGTTCCATGATGGCCGGTGATCAACGATTGTTTAATACGCCATTTGCTCCTTCAGGATCCTGGAGCCCATGTGCACCATTGGTTTAAAATCAGGGATTTGCAACTCCACTAGGTGGACACGCCGTGTCCACCCGGTTAAAGGGCCGGACATTCGCTTTTCGTCCTCTCAATTCCTTAAACAACAGCCCCTCCGCGAAATTTGACCCTCCCCACTCCCAGCCGTACCAGAGTATTTAGGGGCGTGTACTTCGATAGTCAGTCAATGTTGTGTGGCTACTAGATGCTACTGTGTTTTAACAGTAAGTCCTAATTCGATGGAACCGGAGAAATAGTTGTATTTGCCTATAGCTTGTTTTTAATGATCAAAATTTCATAGGCGCCATTAGGAATGCATAAGCAGTTGAACGAAGAACTCTAGAACAGTGAGATTCATATATATATATTAAAAAGTTACCTTTATATTTGTTGGTGGATCGTCTACCAGCTTATTTTGTCCTGCAGAAATGCGTAATTCATCGATTTCCATGGGATCAGTCATATCACTGGCTTTGGAAGCATCATCTGCTATGCAGGATTCTTCGCCCGTCCCGTTTGCTTTACCGTTTACTGGTTTCTCTTTGGTGAAATTAGCGACATCGTTGATTATAGGCTGTTTGTTATCTGTTTCCTGGAATCCGGGACGATCAGCTGGGTCTCCACCACTCTTTGTACACCCTTCATCAGGATCTTCAGTTTTTGATAACTGGCCATCTATCATTTCAGGTTTTGGTTCTAAGTTGGGCATACTCCAGTGACCGTTAATCTTTTCAAATTCTTGAACCTTTAATACGAGAAATGAAGAAAACCTACATAAATATGAAGGTTGGAAAAACAGGAACATGTAGATTCCACAAACATAGATACCTACTAAAATCGGACGTCGAATGTCTATGAACATACCACTATTGTAATCTGTGGTAGTATTAACCGGTAGAATCAGAAGACCTATACATCCAGGAGTTTCAAGTTTTTAATCACAAATGTCTTTTAACCATTGCTTACATGGAGCGCTAAAGCGGTAAGGAACAGTAAGGTTGGGGTAGGACATTAAGCAGATATGCCGAATTAATTTAGGTGGCCAGGTGATGTGAAGAGTGAAGTATGGAAGCAATGACGAGCAATAGAAGCTACTATTTTGAATAATGTTTCACTTAATCCAAGGTTTGTAAAATACTAACATGTAGTTTTGTCTGCTTCGTTCCATGAATAATAATTTGTTTAATGTATAAACCAGTCACATAATTTTCTGCTTCTAAATTACTGTACTTTAAAAGTAACATTTACTTTTTTTCTACTTGACATTAGTGTGCGCTGTCGCCTTGCAAGTCATATATTTATTCATATATGCTTCAGAATCGGTAGCAGCGTCTTACATTCATTCAGTTTATCTTTCTCTAAGCTTTAACAGCTTGAATATTTTCCCATACTTCCTATCCATCGAATTCATTCTTTCTATCTGAATTGTGTTCTTCAGTGTTTGATCTTCCCCACTATCATTGATACTACATTATTTCCACTATTTTGCTATTCACCTTGTTAATTCCATCTCATGATGTTGATGTATGGTAAGTTAGACTGAAGCGAATTTGTGGCAGGCCCTATGATGGTTGCGATGAATGAATTATGGAGAATTACACAGTATCACATCCAGGAAAGCCAGATGATATAAGGTGCGTGCAGATTAGTAGCAATTTCAGTACTGTTTTTACGAAAGTCGAAGGATAATTATGTAGAATGGAATGTCATACTAATACTAAAAAGGCATTTGAAAGGTAATCTAACTGTCAATTTGACTATCAGATGAGTTCAAGAGAAAACTAGGAGTGTGATATTTGAAAGATCAATTATTACAATAGTTTACCGACCAAAGGAGTATCACATTAGATGAATAGTGAAGATGTAATAAACAATATGACACATCTGCAGCTGAAAGTAAGTATACACACTTTACCAAATGTGAGATAAAAATATGCAAATCAGGTACTTGGCTAATGGTTTATCGCAAAAGAAATGCAATGTGATCACTGAGTTGAACCTTTCAATAAGAGAATGGACCTTGTGTATGTCATTTTTATTACCACAGGGATGTTATGTAACATGACTTCGGAAATAAACTGTACATATGAATGGTTAGTACTGAATACATCAGTACATCACTGATTACGATCAAACAACTGATATGCAGATATACCTACACTTAAATAAATGTAAGTAACAGATTATTTGTCTGTCATCGTACTTCCGTCAACTGACCAATCACCCCAGTTAAACATCCGTTTGGTTAGAAATCGGTTCTCAATCCCGTGAGAATTCATCTAATTGGTCACACTATCTAATTATTCAGTGCATGTGACTCACATTATTATTTTAATAATCAAAATCCAGTCGTATAGTGAGCGAAAAAGTGTTAGTGCTGTTTTGATGAGACGTCGAAAGTTAGAAATATAAATTCGATATACTGAAAAGTAAAAATACGAGGACGAAATAAAAGTGTTGAATAATTTAAAAACTCCGGATTTACAGAATAACACACGTAACCACCCGAGCCACTGCAACTCACTTTCATACAAATCCCCTAAGTTCATACCTAATACTTTTAAATATCTGATTTGATGAAGTACAGAAACTCAAGTGTTTATTATACTGAGACGACAACATATTAACGAGTTAAAAGTCTACGCCACCACTTCAGAAAGTGACCTAAAGTTTACTGAACAAACTTAGTAGGATCAATTATGAAATGCAAAGCTGGAAGCGAAACCACACCAAGTTAATAACTCGAACTATCAACACAATCATTTCTTAAATTTACAACACTATTTTTAAGCACACAAATGTTGACAGACTTACCTTTTTTCGAACAAGAACCATAATTCCGATACGACTAAGAACATGTTGAGTAGATAATCCTTCTCGGGGAACCCCATCACTGAAACTATCAGAATTCTCTGTTTCAGGTTCACAAAGGTGACGCATAAATAAACAAATATAGGCTCGAAATACACGGTCAGGTTTACATCTTAAATCCCTGACCATCCAAGGTTGATCACTTGGAGGTAGTCCATACCTATATAGTGTTGTTAGAAAATACGTAATAGAAGGTTTAAAGTAGGAAATAAATACTATATATATATATATATATATATATATATATATATAATGAAGAATTAGACTCAGTGTTTATGCGGGTGAAAGTCACCGATATTACTCACAACTATAATTTGAAGGAAGTAGACATTTAAAGAATGCATGGAATTTATTGTGACTTCGTAATAACGTAACAACTTTCGGGGTAAATAAAATTATTTGAATCAATGATGGGGCAAGACTAAATAGACAATATAATACACATTGAATAACAGATAAGTAGCTGGAGATAAGATTGAAAAGACTCAATTAGATGAAACATTCAAAATAAAGTAACACAGCTTGTGGAATACCAAACAACTTTCAAGTTCTAAAATAGTGTTGCTACGATGAATTACGATAAGGAAACGCAATATAATGGATCATAGACAAATTATATATTCAAGCGGTTAACAACTAACATTCACGAAACCAAATACGAAGCATGAACTAAGGATAATGAATGTCTGTTGAAGTCAGTATTTTTTCAAAAGCCCTCTAAATTTTAAGTCGTATCAGTAGGTGATATGACACTAAAAATTACATTCGGGCCTGTCGACTGTTTACAACAAATTTTCTACAAGCACTAAATATTTAATACCTTTGTCATGGATTCTAGGATAAAACAGTCACAAATAATGAATGAGGTTTCTGCAATGTGTGAAACGTAGTATCGCCGTTAAGTTTTACGTTTTAATGCATTCCGATCATTTGAAGAGAGCATTTTTTTGGTCTGATTGTTCGTACCTACTATTTCGTAAACAGGAAGTTTGCAATAATAAAAATATCCAGCAATAAAAGCTGAGCTGCATTCTAGCTAGCTCAACAAATACATGACTCTTAAAAAAAACTGGCCAATAAGTATTCAGAGAGGCAAATGTGGCAGATTTCATAAAAATAGATCAAACACTGTGAAACTAGTTACCCGTTACGAAAATTTCATTAAAAAACTGCCGCTATTTTATTACGACTACTATTATGCGAAACTTAAGTACCTATTTGGTTCTGTAACTATAAATAGAGAGTAAAACAAAGATTCCTTATTAGGCTTTAAGTTATGATCACAGATACACATAGAGCTAAGGACCTTCGCAAACACATAAAAGTAAGATGGTATTTGCATCTGAGTAACTAAATTAAAAACGAATGACATATATGTAGGGTTTATTCTATATTTAAAAAGCACGAAATATTTTGAGGAAATTTACACTCACCGCATTACTGCATTGAGAAATGAGCGACGCTGACGAGCATTAAAGCCTAGTACTTCGATCTGACCGTTAACACGAGACAGAAGTGGAGGCATTTTACCTTCACGTTCACGCCGAGTGCGACGACTCATAACGGGAACATCGCCGCCGGCTGCACCTGTACGCTCGTCATATTCATCGTCATCTTCATCCTGAATTTTACAGCACATAATTAGCAAGGAAAATATGAAATAATTTCTACATCAAAAACACTGAAAAACGTATGAGTCTTTACTAGCATCCAGTATCATCGAACAGTATGTCACACTCGCCAACTGGTTAAAATGAGGCACGTGTTCGCGAATACTTACAGAAATGACGACGTTTTCAGCAAAGCATTTTCTTTTGTGGTTAAAATTTTATTTAGTCGAAAACTAGACATTACGCTAATGCTTATCTAAAGCGGTGTTAGTTAGGTATTATACTACCATATAAAACTGTATCTAGCTACTATGACAGCTCATTATTATGGAAATACAGTTTAAGAAGGTAATTTGAACTAACTGATACTTTGCCTTTCCCGAATTGCTCCACCTTTGAGACAGACAGGGTATTTGCTCATCTATTTAAACGGCGATTACATAGAGCGTTTGATTATATTGATTGACGATAGTTTAAAAAGGCCGATGAAAGTGAAAGGAAATGTAGGTTGCTAGTATCTGGTCATACATTTCAGGTAAAGTTTGCGTTTTGATGAGTGTTGGGTTGGATGTTCGCTCAAGCAAGCAAAAGATAACTGAGACTAGCAAATACTTCATAATGAAGAGATAAAAAACTAACTTTGTTAGAAAAGTCACTATCATGATCAGTCATAGCCTGATTCCACTCTTCTTCTTCTTCTTGATTTGTTGAGTAATTAACCTGTTTTCGAACTCTTTTACCTTTACCAAGAGCTCGAGCTTGATCTTCTTGAGCTTGTTCAAAGTGATGGCGCAACAACTTTTCCCAATACGTTGGATCTGCTGGATCAAGTTCCTGTTTGATAACCTGACAGAAACAATAGGAAGCAGTAATAATGAAATCAAAAATACAAATAACCAATACGAAAACGTGGTACTAAGTTACATCCATTAAGCTGATAATCGCCTACCCACGTGGATATAAATAAACACCAAAAGCATGTTTTGGATACAAACGAAGCTGAAATAAAGGTGACTAAATAGTGCATACTCTTTAATATGTAAACCAGTGACCAAATAATTCCGTTAGTGATACATTCCGTGATTTAACCAATTTTTAAAATCCCGAACCACATTATATGAATGAAATAATTTGTTTTCTGTGAATGCATCAGTGAGAAAGGAATTAATATGGCCATTAAAAGCCAATGGGTTGAATTTACTTTTTTGTTTCATAAGATTCGTAAGCTAACGTTTGTTAAAAGTTCCATTCTGCTGCAATTTTAAAGTGAACAGTCAGACAGAAAGGTAAAAACACCTTAAAGCAATAAGCGTTAAGTCTTTTGGCCTCTCAATTCTCACGTGATAATATTGTCAATCAGGACACGACCTATACAATCTTAGCACTGTGCCAACCCAATGACGTGTTAACCGGTACAAGCAGCCTACGGTCCTTGTCGGTCCTCCTTACTTAACTGTCTTTTGAGTCTAGAACACATCTTCTACAGTATGAATCATATATTCCAGGCATACTTGGTTTATATGCAAGCAATCCAGACCACATCACAACATAAAATAGAAAATAATAATTATACAAGATCAAGCCAAAGGTGGCTATAGTTGTAAGATACTATTAATAATAAATTCGGAACAGTTTGAGGATAGCGAATCATAAAACAGTCAATAAGTCAAATTAAAGCTTATAAAAAAAGGAATGAATATACATATAATATAGTTAGTTAACAGTTATCCAATAAGAATATACTTAATAATAGTCCATAAGTAACTCCTAACAGCTACTATTCACTTATTCTTCGTTAGGATATAACAGTTGGGAAGACATCAACTCCAAGTTAATCGTACAAATGAACACTACAATTGTGAAAAACAGGGTGTATGAACATTCTAGTGAACTACGATAACTAAACTTTAAATTCCTTTTTGATGTATCTTTTGCTAAGACTAATATATCAACAGGTCAGAAGTGTGAGAGTTATCTTTAATAATGAAAGCATAAGGAATTTAAGGCCTTTACAAAACCTATGAAAGATAAGAAATTCACCGTATATATATATATATCCATGGAGACGTACTATCGAAATATCGATTTTGCTAAATTCCCGTTAAAATGCTGAAACTATATTTCAGTTTGAATTAGCAGTTCAACAGCATCAGAAAATTTTCTTTTTGAAATAATGAGCACCTACTTAGTAAGCACTTTTCAGTTTGGAAGTTGAATAGTCTGTTTGTGATATTAAACTTCCCACATTCAACATTTGGATCCGGAGGCAGGTTGATTTAACCAAGATATAAACGCTTTGCTAATAATTTGATGCATTTCACAAGCTCAAACTTGATGTCACAGAGTAGTGATGTAAGGTACACTTATCATATGTTTAGTGTATCCAGATATTGACTTCAGTGTATCACGAAACACAAAGAGCCCAGAATGCAGCACCAGTTGGGATCTTTATTAACAGTTGTATAAATAATATTACATCAGTGGATTCTCACAAACGGGACAATCTACAGTTATTTTTGCTTATATTCCCATGGACAACTAAGTAATTACCTTTAGCAAAACAAAATAAAGCTGGATGAGAAGAATATCAGTCAGCTACAACGTAGGACCAGGCACATATATGCATCGGTCCAAGTTGCCACACCTCATTAGCACAAGATGAACGCCAAATTCATAGAAATAGTCACTTGAATAGTAGTAATGTATAAAAGAAAGAGTGTGAATAAGGATATAGTACAGGAAGAAAGAATTAGTACATAGAAAGAAAGATATAAAGCAATTTGAATCTTACGGCTTAAGGGAAGACAAAGAATGTATACACCGACGCCATTGTGGTCGATTCTGAGCCGCGTTACCCAGAGTCTCCAACCATATGTTCTTTTCTCATGAGAAGAATATGTTAGGTTAAGGCTAGACGGAAAGGATTGTTCGGGCATTTATTGATAACCTGATGATCACAGTGTACATAATGCAAGGTTTGAACCTTTTTGCAGTCAGCAACCTACTTTATTTCGTGCTACATTTCGGGATAATAATTGATGTGACCTGATATCCTCCCAATGAAATACAAACATGAACCCACATATCAGTTACATCGACTGCAGTACTTAACAGATAAGCTATATAAGTGGACGTCGAGCTGTTGATTTCGGTCTATGTAGACCCGATTATAATATATTTTCCATATATGTGAAAATATAACCTGTTTTAAACGAAAAATATATATAATGTCATCTATTAATTATCGAAATGAATAAACTATATTACTTCACGATTTTCATCTTCATCTTCCGATTCATCATCTTCTTCTTCAATAACTCTTTCTTTTCATAATGAGCAACTTTGAAGGAGGTTAGGTAGTCGTTCATTTCTAAAGCTTTTTCTTCTAACCCCTGCTGGCTACGATCCAATAAACGCTCAATAGCAGCATCATCATAAACGATAGTGTGTTCATCTTCCACTAACGCGGATAAATAATAAAAGTATTAACGAAGTGTAACTATGTGTGAATATAGTATTACGAAAGCTGGTGGTTTAGTTTGAAAAGATTGCTGATTTTAGTAAAATATGTGAAAAGTTGCATACAGGATAAGCGTCAGGTTGGGTGGCGTGACCCAGAAACATTGCTAATGGGCGGATGCACTTATATTTTATCTATTAATTCCTGATTTTCTGAATTATTTTATACTTTTTTAATTTTGGAGTTCACTTTTTCTACTCTGTTCATATTCATCCTGTGTTAGCGAGATACAGATAGGGTTAAAGCATGTTCCGTATAGGATTGTGTTGCGGTCTTTCTCGGCCAATCAGCGCTAGCGGATACTAGGAGAAAGCTATAGAATCTTCTGGTGTAAACTATAAATATACCGAAGGTTTCCTTATTGTCATTCCTACTTCCATTCAACCTTGTTTATTTGGAATACAATTGGGTTCCTGTTCAACTGTTTTCTGATTTGGGGACTTGATGAGTGAAGCAGTGTCCAAGATTATTAGCTGGGTCGTAATAAGAGATCATAACATCTTGATAATTCTATCTCGCTGTCCCAATGTGATGTGCAACATGGACCGATATACAACCATAGCAAGTTCTACGTTGGCTGTAATTGATTGATTTCAATAGAGACCACCATCAAGTTGGAGGTGCCATCTTGATTTATTGGCTTCTGAGACATAGCCCCTAACAGCTGCGATATCGAGCGTTACTTATTGAGTCTAAGAGTGAGTGGGAGAGAATGAGAAACAGCTAGTCTACTTGACTTATTCAGATTACTTACTGGTTTATTAGAATAACAGAAAACTTACTGCTTTCCTCCCCTTCCTTGAACAGATCTTCAGTCCCAAATTTAAGAATATCGTCCAGTTCTTTTTTGGACATTTGACACGAACCTTTACCGCCTAAACCAGGACGAACAACTAAATGAGTCAGCATCATTTTCTTTTTAGCCACTTGTGTAACACGTTCTTCAACTGTACCACGAGTGACGAACCGATAAATCATAACCTAGATAGACAAATAAAGTTATTTTCACGACTAATGGATCGAAAACAACAGTATACAGTGATCCGACAAGTGGTGAAATAATGTGCCCAAATATATAAACACAGTCTACTGAAAAAGTAAGCGAAAATGTTTCTAAATGTTGAATGATAACGTTGTAACCAACTAAACACGAAACATTGTGCATTAGCAGTTGAAAATGAACCATCATAATATAATTTTATACACATTAAAATCAATTGGTAAATATTTAAATCTACAAACATTTAGTAAATTTTTAACTTAATACGATATGGGGAGTTTGTGACCCTGATGTTTTATTTCTTATTTAGTCCATCAAATACAAAACGCATATTTGCAGAATTATTTTACCAATTAGATAAATGAAAAAGTACACTTAGCATACCAATTTCAGTACAAAATATACAAAAACTAGGCGTGGGCTGCAGGATACTATTAATCCAAAAAATATAACAGAGCTGTAAAGAGAACAGATACAGATTACTAAGTGGAATATGAGGAGTTTTAAATAGTTTTGAAATAATAAGCTTACTTTATTGGACTGACCGATACGATGAGCACGAGAAAATGCTTGGATGTCATTATGTGGGTTCCAATCCGAATCATATATGATGACTGTATCTGCGGAAGCTAAATTTATGCCTAGACCTCCTGCCCTGGTGGATAATAAAAACGCGAAGGAAAGAGAATCAGGGGCATTAAAACGATCTATAGCATCTTGACGAAGCTGTCCTGTAACCGCACCATCGATCCTTTCAAATTTATAACCTTCAGAATCTAAGAAGTCCTCTAAGAGGTCTAGCATCTTAGTCATTTGAGAGAAAATCAGCACACGATGTTTTGTTTCATACAGTTTGCGTAGCATTTTGCTCATAAGTTCCAGTTTCCCAGAGCCTTTCCGTAATCCGACACCTTCATAAGCACCATTGGGCATACGCTGTGCCTCCTCAGCCGCAGAAGGAAAAAGGAAAGGGTGATTGCAACACTTCTTGAGGTCCATCATAATATTGATAAGAGAAACTTGAGAACCTCCACTGCGACAGCTCAGAGCCTCGAAGTTACGAGTAAGTATAAATTTATAGTAACGCCTTTTTATATGAAAAGAGAACAATGTGTAATCTATTAATCTCATATATTGTTTCATTATCATCATAAGATAGATTAAATTAACGCTTTTTGGACGTCTGTGTTTTAGTATTTATATCAATTTCCACTGTGCAATAAGATGAGAAAATTAGTAATTTTACCAACAATAGTGCTGCTTTTCGTTCTGGCATGAAGATCATAATATTAGTGACCTGAACTCATCGGCTGTCTAACTTCAATTACAATCAATCCCAGCTTTTCATAGACTAGGATATATAATATTAATACCTACCTAATAAAGTCAATATCGAACACTCATGCGGTTCGGCTCTGAACACAAAGAGCGAAGACAACCTGGACACAGACTAATAAAAATTTTACCTACAGATCGTGAGTAGTGGGGAGCTAAAGCAAAAGCAATGGAAAGGGCGGTGGAGATAGGCAGCAGTGAACAACTTTTTAGACATCAAAGAAAGTTACTAAAAATTCGGTAGTGAGATTATTCTCTAAAAAGATGAAACAGTGATTTATTCAAGACCCAGGAGGCTGAGACGATAGGTAGAACAATTAGAGGAACAGTTTAACTACTTTCCAGCTACCCTTCAACATAAGTCACCGAAACATAACAAAGTACGAAAATTTATAACCTAAAGTGAGGGAGACCAGTAGGCCCTAATGGGATAACCAGTGATCTTTAAAGATGCTGGTCCAGATTTAGGAGTTCCATTAACTGAGATATTAGCTGGAATCTAGGAAAGGCATGTAATATCATCTGACTGGTCTCGATCACTTACCGTCCCAGTTTTTATGAGGACAGAAATTCCCTTGCGACAATCACAGCGGAATCAGTTTATCTAACATAGTGTCTAAAATATTACTCTCAATAATGCTCCAACGCCAAACAGGGGCTCGTGAAGAGCAGACCCGAGAAAATCAAGCTGATTTCAGAACTGGACATGAGTTTATAGACAAAATATTCACTCTTTGTTAGGTTCTGGAACATAGACATACTTTCGGACGTCTGACTATAGTTGTGTTCCTTTACCTTAAGATGGCATTTGACTCCGCTGATTGTGATGTTTTGTAGCAGTATTTTATTGAAATACGTACCAAAGTAGAACATTACCATTATGCAGACTCTCCAGGAAGATTGCTGGCTGAGTCAGAGCTTATGGAGAACTGTCATAGGTTACTTCAAGCGTTTCTTGTCAAGGTTGTTCACATTCCCCATTCTTATATAACTCTGTCATAGACATTCTTTTAGAAATAACGCTCACTGTTTAACTTATCAATAACTGATCTTCCAGGAGATTTTATTGTTGACTTATAATACGCAGATGACATAGTCCTGTTTGGTGAAGACGCTGAGAAGATGCAATGCTCTAACCAAACTAAGCAATAATACTAGCATGCTTGTAACGCGTTTTTATCCCTCTAAATGTAAAGTATTACTTTAGGATTGGTCTGCCTCAATACCTGAAGTAATAGTAGAGAGTGAAATAGTAGAGTGCGTTGACCGTTCCACTTATCTTCACAGTCTCATCAATCCCGATGACCTGGTTTTTGACGAAGTCTCAGCATGAACCCAGAAAGCCCGATTAGCTTTTGCCAACCTGCGTCATTTGTGGTGTAGAGATATCCGTTTACCAACCAAAGAATGATTCCATTATACAGTAGTTCGCCTCGTTTAACTTTACGGGTGAAAAATGGGCTTTAAAAATACAGGATATTCGCAGGTTACTAGTATTAGATCATAGGTGTTTTTGGACCATTGCTCGTATATTTTAAAACCATCGACTTGGCGATTCTGAGGTTAAACCCAGAGTACAATGTGGGTATGGCAAATCGACTGATGAGGTAGTGAGTTTTTATCAACTGAGCTACTTAGGATATGCATCACGTAGGCCCAACCATCAACTAGACGTGTGATGACGGTTGGTGTACGACTTTGTTGAAAGAGACCAAGATAAGATATGTCATCAGTCCATGAAGACAGTGAGCATTGAACTGAGTCATATACGTGGGTGCAGATTACCTAGTTGGGGTCCGCGTGATTATTGTAACCAATGGTTGAAGACTGAATGATATGGTTTAAAATCGTCCGCAATGCTCCATAACTAACTAATCAAATCGTTGCTTAAGCGTCCACAACGTCAATCTGATGTGACTGTAGACTATCCCTGTTGCATGTAACCTGACAATTAAAGGACATTATTATTTTTTTATATTAGTGCGAATTTTTTTTCTCATTTCGATAAGACACGTAAAACTGATCGGTATGTTTGTGCGTTTCATCTGATGGCTATAATTCCTTTAAATATTGTACTAATCAGATTGTTATTTTTACGTTTAGAAACAGATAAAGTTTAAAGCCAAGTCGTCCTTGATTTGAATCGACCACTGCATCTCTGTGCTAATGTAGTGTGGCAACTCGAACTGATGTACGTACGTACGAAATTCTACGTTGTTACTGACTGACTGACGTCCTTGTTCTGACTATAGCTTTCACATAAACTCTGGAGTCACCAGTATTGCGTTTACAGCTCTAGTCGAATAGCTGTAGGACAAATTAAATCCTACATACCATTCGACTTGAAGTGATGAGACTTCCAATGTAAATGAACTGATCGATCCGGACTAAACACGAAACACCATATTAAAGTTAACTGGAGAGTAATGCTTGCACGGTTACTCAGGTCACTTAGAAGGCTTCGGATTACGTTGGGGTCTTCACGCAACAAAACTTTGTCATTAACATACTCTAAGTCGAAAAGCAAACCTCTGAATAAATAAATCTATATAAATTTGGATGAATAGCGCATTATCTCGGAAACATTTAAGTATGATTTTAACTAATATAAATCATAACTAAATATATCCCATTTACTGTGGTAGCAGCCCAGCAGGTGTAATTAAACCCTATTATAAGAGCGTCCATTTGACTGTTCAGCTGTATCACGTTAATGTGAACAAAGGGCTATAAGAGAAATCCAATAGGAAATCTGTAATACAGCTGTAGCTTTTGTAATGAAGTAAGGTTATTCAGGTTGGTAACTACTAAACTCTTGATTTAAAGCCCACAGATCCCAGAATGCATAAAATGGTAACGAAAAAAGGATGGAATGATAAAAAAACTAAACATACGATGTGACTCACTTTTGCATAGGACTAAGCTCTACTCTGACGATGAATTCACCTTTAGACGGCATATCCTGTAACACATCAGCCTTAAGACGCCTAAGTAAGTGTTGACCAAGCATATCATGAAGTTTCTTTACTTGTTCTTCTTTTGATATATCAGCGAACTCATCTAAGAATCCTTGCATATCGTTGAATTTTTCAGGGGTCATAAAATGTAGTAGGTGGAAAAGTTCTTCTAAATTATTTTGAAGAGGAGTTCCTGTTAACAATAACTTATATCCAATCTTATAGGTTGTCAAGATACGGAAAAACTTTGACTGATTATTTTTTAGTCGATGAGCCTCATCTACGACAAGAACTTCCCAGTCTATGGAGCCTAGTAAAGCTTGGTCAATACTAATTAACTCATAACTTGTTAAAAGTACATGAAATCTGACTGAAGTGCCGGTTCTCATTTTCATAGCTTTAGCACCACCACGGACAGCACCCTCATCGAATGAGAATTCGTGCTCTCTTATAACTGTTCGTGAGTCTTTATCGCCGATGTAAGAGACTACGTAAAGATCTGGAGCCCAAAACTCGAATTCACGCTCCCAGTTAATAATTGTTGAGAGTGGAGCGGCAACAAGGAATGGGCCGCGACAATGACCTTCCTTGTAAAGGGAATAAAGGAAAGCAATTGTTTGGATCGTTTTTCCCAAACCCATTTCATCAGCTAAGATTGTGTCGATTTTGTTACCGAAGGAAAACCTAAGCCAATTGACACCTTCCAATTGGTATTCATGTAACTGTCCATCGGTTTCATCAAGAAAACTTGGTTGAGAAGTGTATTGTTTCTTTAAATCTGTCAAACATTTATCAGGTGGCAGTTTACGAAGTAATTCAGGACTTAAATTTTCAGCAGCCAGCTCTTTTGAAGAACGACGACCAGGTTTGTGTCTTTTGCACAAACTGACAACCGACAATGAACCATCAGGACCCACGGTGCTGCACAAATGTCCCATGAAGACCTTACGCATTGTACGATATTCTTCAATGAATTTATCCATATCAACAACTTCACCGTCTCGTGCTTCCCATGTGCACTCATCATATGGTAAATCACGCCATTTAACTAGATACCAGGTTTGACCTCCTCTACCAGTTCTGTGGTCGATGATCCTTTGTGGTTGTAACCATTCCGGTCTAACACCCCATTTATAGAAGCGTTCTTCTAAATTATGTGGATCCGCAACCTTTTCACGAGCTCGGCCCCTGTAAAGAGAAAAATGAACGCTAAATATATGTAGGTAAATACTTAGATATCACAAATATAATTTGCGAACAACTATTCTACTGAGGGTTTATGAATATAAGGTTTTAACTTAAAGTTTCCATGGTGTGTAATTCTGACTGTTTCTTTACTCAAACAAATTTACTTAAAACACCGTAAATTTAGTTGAAACTTACAACTGACATAAATGAAAACCCCAACAAATAAATTTTAATTATTAAGATATGGACGAAAATGTATTTAGTGAAATCTAATTAGAATGGTGTGAAAATAAGTTTCGAAGTGTCATATTTAATCTCGAGATTTGAAGACCTACACTGACTTCCTAAAGTTCAAATAGCCTATGCATTAAAAACATCGTGAAAGTTAACGATTTCAAGGGAGGACTAATACATCTGGGGTACTGAGACTAACTGAAAGCCAAAACTTAATTCTACATGCATAGATTAAGGTTTAAAGAAGAACGTATTTGTAAAATCATAGAGAATGAATTTGCATTAAATCCAACGTTTTGCTCGACGATCTGGTCCAAGCTTTTTCGAGGAAATATAATCAAACATCAAAATTACCGAATATAACTAGGTACATGGTTTTTCGGTTAACTGTATAATATAGGTCATCCAATCATGTTAAAAATGTTAAAAGTAGGTATTTGCTTTATTGTGTATGAGACATATGGTGTGTAACGAAAAGTGTGTTAAGATAATATATTATGTGTATTCGTAAGTGGATCTGAGGTGTGAGGAATTTCATTAACTACTTATCGCCTCTGATCGGTGAATTTTCAAAGACAATATACAATTTTAATATATGATATCGACCAAATATGTCACAGTATGCATAAAATGAAGATAAGTAAACAAAATAAATGAAGGAATGTTTGTGATATTTCTGCTGTTCCAGTTAATTGCTTAACATATTCAGACAAGACAACTGATTAGAACAGTTGAATGTAATTGCTGTTTTTCAGATAAATGATATATTACGTGGAATAAAGAGTTCAGGTTTACTTATTAATTATTAGTTGCCATGGGACAGCTAATTGTATTCCGTCTCTTCTATTAATACTATTCGGATTTGCCCGTATCTCTAGGGCTTTGGCTGTTAGTCATTCTTTGTAAGAATTGAAACCTTTTTAAAGGATTCTTATACCATTGAAATCAATTGTATGACTCGAATCTATTAAGCGTAGTGCTATCGCTGATTTGTTTTCGAGTTTTATATCATCTGAGGATTTAAGAATGTGCTTTAAACAAAGTTTGTGTTCCTTCACCCTCACATTCAGTTGTCATGATGTTTCACTTACACATATAGCGTTACAATCACCACATTTGATTTCATTAACACAATTCCGTTAATCCTCCCTTTGTATTGTCTTTGATTCTTACCAGTTTTGACCTTAGAGTATTGTTTCTTAGAAAGAATACACATATAATTCGAAGATTTAGGATCCTTCTGGAATCCCTTTGCGATATGGGGTCACCATCGTGTTAACTCATTGTTTTTGTTCATCTCTTATCTTTTTGGTCCTCTTTCTTAATCATTCTTTTTATCAAATCCCTACAATAATTATTCATCATCAGAGTGGACATAACTAAATTTCTTTCAGTTTCTTTATGACTTGGTTCTGTGACGAGATTTTGGACTCTAGTTATCAAATTCTTGGCCACTGTCACTTTGGTGGAATGGGAATATACTGACTTGTAATCTTGATATTTCCCAGAATATGTCAGCTTTCGAAATATATTTATTTTTAAACAATCATTACATTTATTTTCAACCAAACAGTCCAGAATAGGTAATTTGTGGCCAGTGGATTTAATCTCCTTAATGAATTTGACTTTGTCAGACATACTGTTGAAGTTTTTAAGCAGTTCGTCTAATCCATCTCGTTTTATAATGGCGAAAATGTCATCTACGTACCCCAACTAGATTTTAGGTGAAAGGGGGCAGTTTGAGGTTGCACTTGTTTTCAATGAATGCATGAGTAAGTTAGCAACAATTGGAGAAACCGGTGATCCCATAACCACATCTTCTGTTTGTCTATACAAATCTCCACGAAAATTGGAAAAAGTTGAATGGAAACATAAATCCAGAACTTAAGTATTATCTGAGGGACCTAATGGGCATCGTTGTTTTAGTGAAAGTGAAATCAAATACGGAAAAGAATTCTGATGGTTTTAAAGACATCATCCCTAATATCCACAGAGGTGAATTAATGGCAAGTTTCGATTTTAGCTTTGTCCACTAATGTTCCTATTAGGATGGCTTTAGATATTGTGTATAATCGCTTAGACACAACTAAAACAACGATGTCTATTAGGTGAGATTTTACAAATACGTCCTTCCTCCTCATTGTCTTGCATCAATTTGGTGCCCAAATACCATGAAACTATTCATTCAGATCTAGACGAAAGTTCTTACACGGATTAAGGTTATTTTATGGAACGTAAAATGAAGCACTATATCTTACACAATTCAACTTAACAAGAATAAATTACGCAATGCGATGCCGGTCTATCCACTCAGTCTTCTGCTTTATGCATATACTGGGCAGGTGTGATTGGGGATGCTTTATATGTACACGGTCAAATATTTGCAGCAATATGAGTGATCTGTTGACAGTTGTAATTGGGAATTCTCATATCACTAAAGATAAAAAGAATGTCTGTTTATAAAGTGAAGCGATGTCTTTAATAATTGAGGGGATTTGCAACAAGTTCAAAATATCGTGCACTTTGTTCGGTTCATTGCAGATAAAATTATTGAATGTCACCCCGTTGTTCGATACTACATGTCCTGTATACGCGTGCTTTATTAGGAAGAAAAATTTACATTCTTAGACTAAAGTACCGATTCCAATTTGCAGATGTAATTTCTTAAGCATGTAATGGACAAAACAAGTGCATGATAAAGAGATACAACCTAGAAATCCACACGGGGTGAAAGCAACGTTAATTTTGTGAGTTATGAGCTTACAATAGACAGATTTGATCCTTGGTTTACCAAAAAAAAACGAAATGAAATCAAGACAAACCCTGGCGTTATTGTTCGAATAAAGCAACTAACAATACAGTTACATTATCATTATTATCAACTTAACTAAAAAGATTATGGTGTGTTACTGAGTAGACTGCATTTTAGTTATTTGGAAATATAAACCCACCTATAGGTGCTTCCATCTTCAGGAAGTGGAGGCTCTTCCATATCATTTTTCTTGAAATAATTTCGCAGCATGATTGGGTGGTGAACATCTATCTGTAGTTCAGTGAGCCATTCAGAGTGCCAGTATGACAAATCTGAGTATTTGACGAAAAATTCTCTAGTGGGACGTCTTACGTGAAGTGGTTTAATTGAAATATGCTGTGGTTGAGTAGATAAAGAGTTATTTTTTTCCACAACAAGCTTTGATTCATTATCCGCTAAAACTTTAACAGCGGTTTTATCCGAGTCTATTGGTACTGAGATGACTGGGTTGACGTTATCTGATTTGGAATCTCGATCAAGAACAGTACAAACATTCCCCGACACAATTTCGGCATTTAACGTATCCTCACTATTTACTTCAGAGACCTGTTCTTGTGAACGCTGATGATAGTGTGTATGGACAAGTTCATCGGTAATTTTAGGAGGTTCAAACCATCTCCATGTGAGTATTCTAGACACCTTGGCTTTTAGTGGTTTACAGCCACAACGTGGACACAGCCAAACTCCTTCAGGAATATTGGCCAGAGGTGGGATTAAACAAGCTATGTGGTAACTAGCTGGACAGTTATCACAACAAATAAGATCACCACCATCTCTACATTCCGTACAAAATTCCTGATGTTCATCTTTTTCAGGAGAGGTTGGGTGAACAGCAGACACTATTTTTCCATTCTTGTCAGATGTAACAGCTGGTTCAGATCCACTATCTTCACACTCTTTATTTGCTTTAGAAACGGATGTGATACCTTCCTTCTCACAATGGGGACAAGACCAAGTTCCTTCTGGAGCTTCTTCTAACTCTGGATCTAAGCACACCAAATGATATGCACGTGGACATGTATCACACAACATTATTTCACCTCCCTAATAGAAAGAAAAGATATTCACTTAAAAGGGAATCTAAAAACAGACATTAATTGTGTAAATTAACTGAATTGGGAGCATATAAGATACAGTGTCATCGATCTTACCTGTTGACAAACTTCGCAATAATCCTGATGATCGGTCTCATAACCTTCTTCCTCTCCGATTTTCGTAAAAGTGCGAGCAACAACCAGGGGAAACCGAGCAGTTGTCTTCTGGTGAGTATGGATTACTTTACTAGACAGGAAACTCGAATCGACCAGTTTGGACCCAGGCCCATTCCCACCAGCAGTAGGACGCCTGATTGCCCGTTGCTTGCGACGATCACGTTCTTCATCTTGAGCCAATTCGGCCTCTTCTAATTGTCGTTCGAATTCTTCATCACTTGTGTTATGGCCTCCAACAGACCGCTCCTGTATAGTTTTATAAATATAAAAGTAAAAGGATGAAATATAATATATTGTTGATTTATAATCCCATAAGAGGAATTAATCCTGGCTCAGCGTTGTATGTTAAGCTACCCAGAAGACTACAGTGAAAAAATACAAACCACAGAGGCAATAAGTTAGTAAGAGGGCTGATAGTACTAATCGCAACTTTCATCTTTTACTTTAAACCTGACCAGAAAGTGTATTGATTGTTCGAATCTTCCCACTGATGTTTTAGAGTAAAACTGATCAGACACTTGGGTGGATATGCACCCTCTAAACACTACCTAAGTATTCCCACTAAACCAAGAGCATTTTAAGCATATAAATGTTGGCTAGCAGTGGAATCTCAGACACACGTTTCTTCCTATTTGGAACTCGTCAGCTGGACGTGCCTGCATCCAAGAGTTGGTGTTCACTTCGGATCTCGAACTCAGTACCTTTCTCTTCAAATGACAGAACGTTATCCACTTAGCTAGAGTCGCGAGTCAATAAATTGTGAAATCGAGCTAATTTTAATTCATTTGTATTGGTTGTCTGGACATTTTCCCTGATGTCTAGGACTACAATTTTGTAAATAATGAGCATCGACCTACTCTTTACATTGTATGAGACAAAAGGAACTGAGTTCACGGAAGATTGTAGTCAAGAAAATTGCATTTAATAAACTCTTATGCATCTTTTTGTTACTAGTTTTGGTGATACTTTTAAGTGTTACAAGTGACACGCCTTGATCACCATAATTTTCACTTGGAAGCTTTTGGCATATATTTCTTAAAGATTGATGGAAAAATTTAATATCTATGTATGTGGCATATGTGGTTATAATAGTGAGATATCTACACAACCTTCCGATACAACGCAAACTTTGAAGCTAAGTAAGTAGTTTACAATCCTCTGAGTTTGTTTTGTGCATGTAGTCAGTTGCTGCTTTTACATATTATAGTAGGAATGGGACGAATGAAAACAGCTTCATGAAGAGAGTTCATCAAAACCTGAACCGTTTTATCAGATTTAACTGTGTAAACCAATGAAATTGGTTGTTTATTATTATTTAACCATTGGTAAAAAGAGGCACTAAATAGATATGCGCCACATAAATCATTCGATTTATATGAGGGCTGGGATACTGCCCTGGTGCCCAAACCGAAGCAAGTGGTCTCTTTGGGGGGCCACACCCCAAGCCTTTGACCTGACAGTCTAACCGACAAGACAGTGAAGCAACTTATGGAGATGCAGTTCCATGGTAGCCGGCGACCAACAATAGGTTCATATGCTATTTGTTTCCTTAGGATCCTAGAGCCCATGTGCACCATTGGTTTGGAATCAGGGTTTTCCAACTCCCTTAGGTGGACTTTCTGTGTCTACCAACCCGGTTAAAGCGCCGGACATTCGGTTTTTGTCCTCTCAATTTCGTAAACAACAGACCCTCCACGAGAAGGCAGTGAGTAGGACTTCCCTGGCAGTGGTTGTATGCACGTGGCCATGTGAGAGCATTTCGAGAGGGAGAGCTGACTTTCCCCACCCTCGACCGTACCTGGGCATTCGGGGGCTGGTTGTTAGTCTAGATTGGTTCTTATACTCCGTAATAATAAGATACAATGACTTATTCAGTAGGTAGGACTACAGAAACTGATGTTATAAAATAATGGACAAATATTATAAGTTCATGATATCCACTTCATTAATTATATGGGATAAAGTAACCCCAACATGATTGGTACTTTTTACATTTCTGGGTAATATCCAATAACGTCTCCGATCACTTGGTCACATGATTCCAAAAAACACTGGATTTAGTGTGCAAACAGATACTAACTATACAGAACAATTTTCCATATGTTTCTCTCAGCTAAATTCGATTATACCAAGCAATGATCGGTATAGCAATAACTAGAGCAGCACACGAAATCGTAACCTGGTAATTCAACCTTGAAACCATTTATATAATGCATTAAGCTCATAAGACCAACTTAAGGTGGAATAATACTCAGAAAACCAGTGAGTCTACAACACCAATATGAATCATTTTAAATAGTAGATTACAGTTGCTTTTCATAAAACAAGAAATCCTTGTTTGCAAATTAGTGGAAGCATGACTTTTTTATTTAAGTCGACACAGTTAAGAAAGACCTTGCTCGAATTATCTGCGAAATTCTTAAATGTGGAACAAAGAATGACTCGAAAGTGTGGGACCTATATGTTTATGAGTAAAGCCTGTACTTACCTCAATTTTTTTACGACCACGTTTTTTCTTTTTCTTGCTTATCCGAATCTTTAGAGGGGGTGTTGCAGCTGGTACCTGAGCAGGTGAAGGAGGAGGGGACTGACTGGCAGCCTCGCTACCCGCTCCAGCAGAAAGTGGAGTAGCGTACCCGGTCGGAGATATTTGAACTATGTGTTTCCCCACAACGCCTTTACGTTTTTTAAATGACATATTGTGAATACGGATGTCAGAAACTTCGTCCTCCTGGGTTTCTGTGTCAACATCATCGAAATCATCGTCTAAGTCTGAATTTGTCGATAAACGGGATTGTAATTAGGTACCTTCCTCTCCTTTTGGGATATAAGGATTCATTATGGCGAATTCTTTCCACTTAGCATCTAATACTTTTTGAACATCTTCTTTCGATGCATTTGGGTTTTTATTTGCTATCAGAGGACGAACGTACTGGTCAAATAGTTTTTGGATAGTCCAGTTTTCAAAATCTTCAGTTGAGTAAGTCATCTCTACGTCATCTATCCCTAACTCTTCACACAGTTGATCGACTGTTTTTTCCTTCTAGAATGGTAACGCAATGGCTAAAAACAAACCTTGGAAACACGATCTGAGCGTCTTTTCGGTAAGACTAGAGAATCATCCTGTGGAATAAATGAACAATGTAATTCATACACCTACCCTGTGCTTTAACTTTGCACGCTTTTTAGAATCCCTTGCCTCAGTTTTAAGTCTACGTCGCTTACCTCTTTTACCGACAGAAGACTCATCGTAATCTGAAATGAAAATTGGGGCTGAATACACACAAAATAGAAACTAAAAACCCACCTTCCATAGGAAATTGAAATGGTGACCGAGACTAAGAAGCAATACAAAGTATACGATACAGTGTACAATATTCAGTGATCATTAATGACGAATGTATACTGTGGTAAATATTTACTTAATGTGAAAGTTGCAATGCCTAAATGTATCATTGTACATAATATTAAACCTGAAGGTGGAGTGAGAACTCAGTTTACATATGTTCTCAACCGTAAACTCCGGATACAGTAAATAAATTTAAAAAATGAATTGTTGTATGCCTTCGACATAGATACTAACCTCATTAGTTTTACCAGACACAGTTCTAGCTGAGATTATTCGTGGGGAGATAGTTAAAATGGACTTATTTTGTTATTTGTTTTTGTTATTATTTGTATTTTTTCCATTAATTCTCATAATTTGTACAATTATGATTATTGCTTGTGAAATTATCGTTCAGAAAACCTGAACTTTGATCTTCCGTTCTGCTTCTTAATACCCCATGGTATGACATTGATTATCACTCCCAAATACACTGCAGTTTACATATGCTTCTTGTTCTCAATAATCCACTGTTACGATGACGTAACTCTAATATATTGGATATCTATGTCTACAGATCACTGTGATATCCTTATTACATGCATTATCTGTTTATACATCTCGGGATATGGCAATTATATTTTTCCCCGTATTTATAGATTTTGTTTTTATTATATCGGGACACATCCAAATTCATGATAATCAAGTCATCCACACACCGTATATTACAATTTATGCCATTCTTGCTCGACAGTATCGAGGCCTAGTTCTACTATGCAGAAAGTGATTTTTAAACACAGAAAGACAGATCCAGTTCTTCGCAGTAGAGGAGACACTGCAGTGAGATTTCAAAAGGTTAGTTACAAATAGTATTTCCACTAGTGATGTTTGAGTAAGTTATGGTATTCTGGGAAACGGGGTACTTGAATGTCGTGATTTAACCGATCAATGTGTGTTAGGCCGACTCTTTCATGACATTGAAGTGAGACGGGGCTCGGCAACAAAAGTATCGATATGTGTGTGAAACGTCATTGCTCAGGAGACTTTCAGTGAATGCATTTTTAGACGGCTATTTTCACCTGAGCTTCCCCAACAAGTATAATATGTTCTAGGTTCCGCCCCAAATAACACTGTGTGTTGATTAGATGGGGCTCGCAAGTAGATTATTTAGGCCAACAGATTTCCTAGTATCGAGGTTGGTCTTGTCAAGCACAATTCTCAGTCGATTCACGATAATATTGAAGATCAGCGTAATAACAATACTCGCTTTCTCACGTTTCGTTTCATCAACTTTCAGTATAATTGCAAATAATCAAGAATTTTTCAGAGACCCTTCACGTAAGAGATCTGTTTCTGGACTGCGAGGGACAGTAAACTCATGTTGGTGCCATCAGCACAACGCCTTTGGTTTGGTAATCCTTCTAGAAGTTGCAGGGAACCATGAATTTCCCCGGACTTCAAACTTCCCCCAAAATCAAGTCTTCCGAGAAACCCTCCAACTAGTACGCGTTAACCGGAACCCTCGAATATGACTTTTTGCTGTCCGCCACTGACATAATGAAGAAGGTTTGTTTCCTCGTCACCGTCGATGGAAAATTAAGTCTTCCTCTCGTCTTGAAATTATAGACTTTAAATTGAAAAATGACCCCTCACTGACGGTATGAGATATGTTAACTTCGATGTGAGTTTGTGGAGCTTCGTTGTTGATAATCATTGACACAGACCTGACGCAACACCATCACTACTCGTTGACGCAAGCTTTTCACGTCTATTTTATTTTATTTCTGTTCATCTTAATATATGAAGTATGCTTATGTTCGTATTTATCATTATTACAGTTATTAATATCATTATCAGTTCCCCCGTCACATTAGATATCCTTTTTATCACTTCTTATCCTTCTGAACATATTTAATTCCTGATTGTCCTTTGAAATCAATTGTGACTTTCATAGCATCATTCTTAATTATTATTGCATAAGTGTTTATACTAATGTTCGCTTTCACTCTGTATATTATTACATAAATCTAAATGTATTTATCCGAATGCTTTAAAGGATTTTTATTTTATTTTTCTAAATTGTTGGTTTCCTTCTGAGGTTGACATTCATTACACAATTATTATTCTTATCATGGATCAAAACTTTTCACTAAGTGTTCACTTCTTTTCTCTCTTCTTTCCCTCTAAATAAATATTATTCTTAAGATTACGAAGTTTGTAATTAAAACAATGACTTGTGTTACACTTAAATTAAATTCTCAGACCCGTTTTATCTTCACTATGCATATATGACTACTCATACATATTGATATTTTATTATCCTTTCCACTCAATTGAGACTTTTATCGCATCACTCCAAACTACCACTGCACAAACATTTATTCTAGCGTCATATGTTACTGCAATTATAAGTTTTTTTAATTATTTTTGTTACTAATTTAACTATACACACATAGTCGTTTATTCTTGTTCTGTGTTCATAAACACGCCTATTAGACTGTTTGCGTATTTCACGTCTCCTTTATTTCTATTCCCTTATTTTCTCCATTTCCTTCTTTAAACTCAATTCAATATTCTTCTCAATTGCACAGACCCGATTTATTATTATTAATATTCTACTATTATTGTTCTAATTTTTTTAAATGGCAAGTATAATGCTGACATTATTGAAAATTGTGTATTATTGCATTTTTTGAAGAAACCCGAAATGGTTTCTTCACAACACTTATGTACCCATAAGATGTTTGTGAATAATAATAATAATAAACTTGTAGAAGATCTGCCGTATGTACGTGATAGCTGCTATGACGGTTTTAATACTTGAAGTTCGTTTTTATTGGGCGGTTTTGTAATGTACAGAGAAGTAAATTTTAATTCTCAGAATAATTACGATTGCAACTCTGAGGTTTGAGTTTGGTGAGCGAACAGTGTTTCTAGTACTTTAATATTAATTATTATTTAGCGTCTTCGAAGGTTGATATACTCTGTACTTTTCAGGTCTCGCTACCTAAATGATATCAGAGAGGAGAATCTGTTAATGATTGCTGGAACAGTCACGAGGAAACGGAGTTGTGCTTTATCTATTCATTTGACCGATGACGGTGATTCAGTCTGTACACGCTTTTACGAGAGGTGGAGAGTATCTCTATGACTAAAGGTGGATTTATGAAATTAAGTCAAGTCCAATCAGGTCATTTTGTATAATATTTCTAGGAGGATTATTATCTACTAGGTTGGTTTAGCGGCCTGAGTATCATTATGCGGTTCATATTCAGGTGCTTCATTGTCCAAACAAGTCGGATTAGAACTGCAAATTTCAGTTGCATTTATCAGTTCACCTAGAGATTTCTGCCCTCTTGGTCAACGTCTGTCGTATTTTGACTCACGTCTTGCTCATGATAGATGTTTTGATACTGTAGGATCCAAACTATGGTTTGGACTGCCGGACAGCTGTCGGAATGAGTTAGATACGCGCCCTCGCCCGTTTGAAACCAAAACAAAGTAATTGGGTAAGATGACGGTTCTATAATTTATCATAAATTTAAGTGTACATTATTACCTAAACAAATATAACCACTCAGCTATCCAAGCAATAATCGTTCAATCGATCAAACCTAAACTACAATAAATAAGAAAGTTGATAAAGGATGCAAGAAAATTACCAATCACCACAAATAACTGTTATTCTATCCTGTCTGGATAGATCACGTACAGATTCGTTCAAAAGGTAATAATTGGTCGCTCTATAACACAGAGTGTTTTCAATTCTGGAAGAGTGCTTCAATTCACAACCAAAATGCACAATTCCAGTCAACACAGATCAAGCAATCAAAAGCAGGGATAAACCAAAAACGCTGCCGCCCAGACTTAGTATAAAGTAAAACAACATAAGTGCAGTTCGAGGAGAAACATAGGGAATTAGTGAAGGTGTAGTAAAAACGAAAACTATAATAAAATACAAATATTAACAATTCAAATGTAGCCAAAATGTTAACAATGTACAACTAAGAGGATCAATAGGAACTAAGTGCAAGTATATACATGGAGGGATTTTCACAAACACACAAACCATTCAAAATGGATCTTACAGATACTATTCACTCCATTATTTGTCGTCAGCTGGTTATACCCTGTAATTTGAATATCCTGTTGCGTCACACTTTCTTACAAAACCTTCGTACCGTGTCAGGTCTGAGGCGGCTCTCACGTTTGTACATGAAATCAAGGAGTAAATACTTTTACCTGAATCAGTAAGTCCCTTAGCCTCTTAACAACAATCAACTCTAAACATTAGGGGACATGCTGATCGATGTGATATCAATAAGATAAGTTAACTAAGAGTTGATGTCCAATATGCCGCATGCTTGAAGACAAATGTCCATACGCTAAGTTGCAAGAGTGCAGTCAAAGAGATTATGTGCAACCATAGTGTAAGAATGCAAAACTTTTTATCATCTTTTCAGCTACAAACTTTGGGATGCATTTAACTTTAGTTGGTTTTTCGAGTTTTTTCTATCATTATTCGAAGGTCGTACATACTTGAGGGGTTCTAATTTATTTTGTAATAGCCTTATGTAGCTGACGTTACGATCAATAATTTGTGGCTTGTCTGTGGTTTTTGTCTGATTTAATAATCCTCTCGTACTTAGTGCGTGCCTGATTTTGAATTCCAAAAACAGTACGTTCGTTTGTGCTCATGCAGTTCTGCCTAACTTACATTGGGTTATTTCGGGGATTTCTAGTTCGTATAATAATTCGAATACCCTTAAATATCACAATTTTACAAAAAGTATCGGATGCCTCCTGTTGATCACCAACGTAGAATAATATTTATTTAGAGGGAAAGAAGAGAGAAAAGAAGTGAACACTTAGTGAAAAGTTTTGATCCATGATAAGAATAATAATTGTGTAATGAATATCAACCTCAGAAGGAAACCAACAATTTAGAAAAATAAAATAAAAATCCTTTAAAGCATTCGGATGAATACATTTAGATTTATGTAATAATATACAGAGTGAAACCGGATATTAG